ATACGCCTGGGAGGAAGTACCTGGATCTGCAAATGAAAAACATGCGCAGAAGAGGCATGAGTACACCACAGCGGTACTCAGTAAGTGCCAAGCCTAACCTCGGTTGGGTAGTGACGAGGAAGGTCAGGGCCCTACTAAGATAAAACATAATAAATAATGAGATAACGGAAGCAGTTTAAATAAAGTCTACAGCGAGAATCTAAACCAGGTAAATAAGGAAGAACAATAATAGAAAGCAAAGATAACAATACAAGGAAAACTGCCCTCAACAAGGAATAATAGCCGGGGAATCTCTTGGTATCCCGAGGATCTCTTGGTATCCTCAATAAGTAAGTCTGGGATCTCTTGGTATCCCGAGGATCTCTGGGTATCCTCAATAAGTAAGTCGGGGATCTCTTGGCATCCCGAGGATCTCTGGGTATCCTCAACAAGTAAGCCGGGGATCTCTTGGTACCCCGAGGATCTCTGGGTATCCTCAATAAGTAAGCCGGGGATCTCTTGGTATCCCAATATATATAGAAACACATGTGCCAGGGATCTCTTGGTATCCCGCACCCTCAGTCCAAAATATCTCAAGTATAGGGGATCTCCCGAGAAGTCGTCCCGTAGTCCCAAATAAAACACACAACAACAACAACCCATAATCTCAGAATAAATGCTAAAATCAGGACAAGTAATAGTAAATTCTAGCCTAACATGCTTCACAGAGTACAAATAGTACAGCTAAACAAATAAGCAAGTAAGCCAGCTAAACATGCGTCTCTAAGCTAGCACAGGTATAAACTTACAGTCTAAACTGAACAAGTAAACAAGAAATCTCAACTTAAATACTTCAAGTAGAAACGGGTTTACAACAATTAGCTCAAGTACGCGCTCGTCACCTCACGTACGAGGCATTCAAATATTCAAAGATCATGTCCTAAGGGGAAAGGTCCCCCACACAAGGTTAGACAAGCCACTTACCTGGAACCGGCTCAATATCAACTAGAAACCACGCTCTTGCCACGAGTATCCGATTCCAAATGGCTCAAATCTATTCAATTCGATTACACATTGTAAATAACATCGCAAACACCTGGTTTTGCTATTAAATTCAAAGCTACAGCGTGAAATTAGGTAAAATAACCAAAATTCCCTTCAGGCCAACGCCTCGGAATCGAATAATTCTCACATTTTCAGAACCCTCGTACTCTCACGAGTCTAACCATATAAAAATCTCCCAAATCGGAGGTCAAATGCTCACTCAAAACCCAATAGTTTGGCCTAAGAAGTTTTAACCAAATTGTTCAAATTTTAATCCCAAATTCGAATTTTTAATGATGGATTTAACTTCAAAATGATGAAATATAACTAGAAGAGATTAAGGAAACGTTACCCAATAATCTTCTCTTCAAAACCCACTCAAAATCGCCCTCTCCCGAGCTCTCAATTGATTTTTGTAACTTATGAACTCAAACCCTCGAAATTTCTATTTCTGCCCAGGGATTTCCGCTTCTGCGGACAAGGGACCACTTCTGCGGTCCCGCTTCTGCGGAAACAAAGCCGCTTCTGTGGTTTTCACTAAAGGGAACAGGGCCGCATCTGCGATAGCTGGGCCGCTTCTGCGGCTCCGCTTCCGCGATGCCTAAGCCGCTTTTGCGGCTCTGCTTTTGCGGAAATGGCACCGGTTCTGCGGTTTCTGAGGAAAAAGGAGACAAGCCGCTTCTGCGGTCACACAACCGCTTCTGCGGCACCGCATCTGCGGTTCCCAAGCCGCAGATGCGAAAATACCAGAAGAGGGACATTCAGCTGCTGCAATAACTTCAAAATTCATCCGTTAACCACCCGAAATCATCCCGAGGCCCCCGGGACCTCAACCAAAAGCACCAATACCACCTAATACCTTATTCAAACTTGTACCAATCTTAAAAACACCTAAAACAACGCTGGAAACCCGAATTAATCAAAGATTCAAGCCTAAGAACTTCAAATTCCAACAAAACACGCTTTAGATAAAAATGGACCCGAACCTCGTCCGAATGACCTGAAATTTTGCACACACATCCCAAATGACATGATGGAACTACTGTAACTTCCGGAATTCCAATCCGATCCTCAGATCAAAAACTCACTATCGGACTGGAAACTTATAAAATTCAAACTTCGGCATTTCAAGCCTAAATGAGCTACAGACTTTCAAAATACATTCCGAACACTCTCCGAACCCCAAAATCACCTAACGAAGCTAACGAAACTATCGGATTTCCATTCCCAGGTCGTCTTCATACTGTTCCGACTACGGACCACTTTTCAATACTTAAGCTCTCATTTAGGGACTAAGTGTCCCAAAATCTTCGAAACTCAACACCGAACATCACGGCAAGCCAAAATAGCAAAAATGAACTTAGGGGAAACAGTCAATAGGGGACCGGGGCGTTAATTCTTAAGATGACCGGCCGGGTCGTCACACTCGGCCAGGACGAGTCATAGAGTGGCGTTGATGGACTGGTAAAAAAGTCAATTTTAATAATGGTATTTTTCTCTAATAAAGTTATTGTGTTCAAAATATGTTTGATTATCTATTCAGACCTTTGTATGTATATTTTAATTGAATTTTTTGTATGTATAAACAAATATATCTATAGCACCTTCATTTGTTTCAGATTTTTTTTAGATATTATTGTGAAGTGTGGTTATAGAAAACATTTATTATAACATAGCATGAGAATTAATTTCATAAAAAACTTGACTTTTACAATGAAAGGCTATTATATAAGAGTGTCGTTATAACGAGATCGATTATATGTAAGGGATTCACATACGAGGACGTTCACCTTGAATTATAATAAAGGGAAAATGGCCGTTATTGCCCCTGTACTATTGAAATTAATGCACGTTTGTCCCCCGTTACACTTTACGTTCAATCCCACCCTACCGTTAATAAAATTTATGCAATTACCCCTAACCCTAATGCTCCGTCGATGTAGCAGGTGACCCCATCTCTTTTTTCCAAGTCAGCTGCCAACTCAGCTGCCAATTGGGACTTCCACTAACTTAAGCCCCAACTCAACGACTAATACAGATTGACCCAAACCCACTCCCAAATCTTATTGATCCGTAACCCGTAACCGAAAACCCACCAAATAAATAGATTTAACAAGTCTGAAAATACCTTATTCACCTCATTTGCTCGAACCTTCTAGTACTTCAAAAAAACGAGAGAAACCAAACCGGTTAGGATCCTTGCTTCCAGTGGCGATTTCAAGCGAGGGTAAGAAATTTTTCTCCAAAAACTTAATTTTTCTGTTAGTTTTATCTCTTTTCTTGATTTATCCCAAAAAATATTCCCAAGAAAGTTTTACTGGCGTTTCGAATCCCTTTCAGATTTGTTTTTTGTTGGTTAGGGATTTCATAAACCCTTTTCTTTTTCGATTATTTGAAGTTGATAGGTGTGTGTAGTTGTCATAGGGTTTCTAATTTTTTCTAATTTTGTATTTATTGAAGTTAGGATTTACTGAATAGTTCTTTGTTGGTTAGGGTTTTCACTTCTCCTATCTTTGACGATAATTTCAAGCTGGTAGTGTGTGTTCTGCTTTTGTATTCACTTGCATGTGATTTTACAGTAATAAACCCTAATTTTACTGTTTTTGTTTGCATGTGCCTCATCTGGTATTGAATAGTCTTTTGGTGGTTTAGAGTTTCAATTTTAATATTTTATGGTCCCAACTTCTTTTGTTTTTTTTATAGAAAATAAGTGAATCAAAATTTTAATATTGGAGGGTAGGGCTGGGATACTTTATTCCGTGTTATACTTTAATGTATGGTCCCCCATATCCATGGCTGCATATATTAGTTTATTAATGTTGACTGAATTATTCAATTTGTGGCTGATTCTATTTTATTATCTTTATGCCTTTATTTATATCTATTAGTTTGTTAATTTTAACTGACTTTATTCTGTAGTTTACTATCAATGGTCCTGCTGGATTTGGTCTTTCATCATGGTGGAGAGTGCGTCAAGAAACCACTCATAGCATACTCAAGAAAATTTCGGCACATTAAGAAAGGTTTTGACTCTGACTTGCTTTCCTATAATGATTTAGTGGATGAATATGTTTCTAACTTGGGGTATATAGGAGTCCAACAACTAATAGCTAATGGTCCTTCTGGTATATACTATAAAATAGAAGGTGATTATGGCATTAAGACTTTACTGGACTTTGTGAACAACCAGTTTAATGTTATTAACATATTTGCTGTAAAGGAATGTGAGTCAAGTATTAATGTACCTAATATAATCCATCACAATGAGCATGATGAACCTGATGAACTTGAAGCTGCCACTGATTGTGATGAAAGTGATAGTTGTGATGACAATGAATATGCTGTTTCTTCAGACTATGATTGTGATACACTAGAGAAACTTTTTAAACAAAAGAAGAGAGACATTAATGATAAATTGACTGACTATAAAGAGTTGGATAGGTCAATGACATTCAAAGATATTGCTGAAGCTAGGAAAGTTATAAATATGTATGCACTTGCAAATGGTTATGGGTTAAAGCAAGTTAAAAGTGACCCAAATAGGCTTAGGTACATTTGTGAAGCTGGCTGCCCTTTTGTATGTCACATATCTAGGAATACTTCAGGGGGTGGGGCTGACTTCAGGACTTTACATTCTGAGCACACTTGTGAACCTGCATATGAGAATCATAGGGTTAATTCCAAGACCATTGCTGAATACTTCAAGAGAGGGTTACAAGAAAATCCAAACATTAAGGTTAGAGAGATGAGGGCAAGCTTGAAGGCTGCATTTAATGTAAATGTTAGTGAGTCAAAGTGTAAGAGGGCAAAAAGATTGATTTTGGAGAATCTGGAATGTAGTTTTACTGATGAATATAATAAGTTGGTTGCATAATAGTAATCCTGGAAGTGATGTAGTAGTTAACTTATCAAAGGATGCTCTTGCTGAAGGCAAGAGAAGGTTCCTAAGGATGTACATATGTTTTCGTTCAATGAAGATGGGGATTAAGAGTGGGTTGATGCCCTTTATAGGGTTGGATGGAACTTTTTTGAAAGGGAAAGTTAAGGGTCAGCTCTTGGTGGCAGTTGGTCAAGACTCTGCAAACCACTTTTATCCATTAGCTTGGGCTATTGTGGATAAAGAAACAAAAGTCACATGGAAGTGGTTTTTAACTCATCTACAAATGTCACTGGACCTTAAGATGGGTGAAGGAATCACTTTCATCTCAGATATGCAAAAGGTATGAACACTTTACTTCATTATTTTATTATTTTTTCAATCTGTATATATAGATTCTCATACTTCTTCTTTCTTTTATACGTAGGGGCTGATTGATTCAATCTCAGGGTGCTTCCTGAGGCACACCACAGATTTTGTGTTAGACACATAGAAGCAAACTGGTGCAAGAGATGGGGATCTGGGGAATACAAGAAATATCTGTGGTGGGCAGCTTGGAGTACCTATGAAGAGGACCTCCAAGATCAGTTGAAGAGTATGAGCCAAGTGGATGATGATGGTAAAGCTGTTGTTGAAGATCTGTTAAAGTATCCAGCTACCTGCTGGAGTAGGGCCTTCTTTGATACTACCTGCAAGAACCAGTCAGTGGATAATAACCTGACTGAGTCCTTCAATGCATGGATATTGCAAGCTAGGCACAAGCCAATTATAAAGATGTTAGAGGAGATAAGAATCAAGGTTATGAATATGTTGAATGATAATGAAGATGAAGTGATGGGGTGGGGAAGTGAGTACAGTCCTAAGACTCTAAATCTATGTAATCAATTCATGAGGATTACACAAAAGTGTCATGTGAATGGCAGTGCAGACCAAGGTTATGAGGTGACAGAAGGTAGTGATAGGCATATTGTCAATCTGGGGGCAAAAAATGCACTTGCAGGACATGGGACCTTTGTGGAATCCCATGTCCTCATGCAATATGTGCCCTACTGTACAAGAAGGTTGATACTCTGAGTGAGATTCACTGGTTTCTTTCAAAAGAGGCATATCTCCAGACTTATTCTCATTTGTTGCAACCTGTGAGAGGAGAAAAGTTCTGGAAGATAGAGCCCTCCTAGAATATGGAACCACCTGAATTTGTAAGGGAAGCTGGCAGACCAAAAGTACAAAGAACAAGAGAGGCAAATGAGTCAACCAATAGGCAAGGGCAATGGTCTCAATCCAGAAAAGGGAGAGTCATGACATGTAATAACTGCGGAGAAGCTGCACATAATGCTAGGGGTTGTGCCAAGGTAATCTATCTCTTGAACAATAAATTTGAACTTCTGATTTATTCTGCCTTGTTCTAACATATAATTGTATTCTATTTTATAATAGCACTCTAAAGGAAAACAACCAATGGGTGGCAATTCAAGGAGAAAGCAGAACCAAAAGCAAAGAACTTTGGTTGATGAACCTGATGCTGAACAACCTACATCACCAGCTGCTGCAGATATCCCAACTGAAGATGACATCCATTTACTAGCACCCCAGCCAAGTCAAAACAGTCAGTCCACCAACTTTGTGTTTATGCCAACCCCTACTGTTCAAAAGCAGCTTCCAACTAGCAATGATCCAGATTTTGAGATCCCTAACTTTGAACCTGAGCCTGACATAGCTATAAGAGCAAAGAGCATCTCAGAAGCAAGGACAAGACTCCAGCTGAGGCAGCAAAGTGTACCAACTGCAACCAGGCAAGTTGGATTTGCTGGTGATTCAAGCGGTGCAAGTCAGCCTTCAAAGCTTACTTTCTCAGCAAAAGGCCTAACATGGCTGGGAAAATCTTCTATCACTGGAAATCAGTTGAACAAACAAAGGTTGAACAAGTTGAAAGCAAGAAAGGGTAGTGGTAAGGAGCAAAAGTGATGGGACTTTGCTTCAAGTATTGAACATTTGTAAATTTTTGGATGTGTTGTAATTACTGCCATGTCAGTAAACTTTATATTTTGGTTGTGGTTCTTTAGTTGTGACAGTTGGATGCCATGATATAACTAGGTGCTGACATCTTTTTGGGGTTATAATACGGTATCCAGCTGTCTTGTAAACTCACTTTATGAATTTTGATAGTTGGTGAATGTTGGTGAATTGTTATTAATGTTATGAATGTTGACAGTTGGTGTTCAGATAATTATTGTCCATTTCTTTCCATTTTTAATTTCAGTTTTCCAGTTATCTAGTTATCAATTTTTAAGTCTGGAATGTAAGTGTTTCAGTTTCAGTACAGATAATTATTGATAATTATTTCTATACGTCTGGAATGTAAGTGTTTCAGCTTGCCATTTAGAATCTGCAGCCTGGATTGCTGCTGTATTTTGTGTCTTTTGTTTTTCAGTTTTGCACTTGGAATGTAGTTATTCAACATGCCAAAATAGAATCTTAAAGTTTCTGTACACTAGATAATATACTATCATATCTTATACAGAAAACAAACATGTTTAGGAATTGGAGAAGAAAAGCTCCTTCTTTAGGGTATACAATAAGGGAAAAAACTAACCAACAAATACTACTACAATATCATCATCAAAGAACATACAAATATTACTACAACATGGCTACACATATAAAACTCAACATGAGCAACTTTGAATTTGCAAAATAGTCGCTTCATCATCGAGGCCGTAAAATGACCAATAAACAATCCCCAAGAAATCATAAGCAACATCCTTGTCTTTGCAAGTTTATCTTCTAACTTGACGACTTTGTCCACTTCATATTGGTGTATAGCCTTCATGGCAATTACTTCTTCATTCAATTTGTCCCTTTGCATCTTAATCTCCTCAATCGACGATGTTACATCTTTAATATTAGTCCAATCACTTTGCGGGAAGATTTCATCTTCTCATTCCCAAAACCCACATGAACTAGGCTGTCAAGCATAATTCAAAAAGAACATTTAGGTTTCAAAATTACAGTAAAATTATAAATAAAAAAGAAGAAGAGAAAACTGAAAAATATGGTAACCTTAGGCCTCAGACATTTGTAGAATTTTCTTCCAGGGTTATATGGAGTAGACGAAGTGAAGTATTTGGCTATAATGCCACAGCGACACCTAATCTGTGATGAACAGCTACCTTGCGACATTTAACAATCAAAGCTACGACGAGAATGAAGAAAAGAGAAATTTTGGGAAGATTTCAGTCGAGCCCTAAGTTCTTAGCAATGGAGTGTATTTTGGGGGAGAAGAACAAGATGCTGGGTATGGGTCAAATTACTTGGACTGAAATTGGATTTGGGGGACTAAATAGCCATTAGGTTTGGGGCTTATAAGTTAGTGGAAGTCCCAATTGGCATCTGACTTGGAAAAAGGTGATGAGGTCAGCTGCCACATCGATGGAGCGTTAGAGTTAGGGGTAACTGCATAAACTTTATTAACGGTAGGGTGGGGATTGAAAGTAAAGTGTAACGGAGGACAAACGTGCATTAATTCCAATAGTGCAGGGACAATAATGGCCTTTTTCCCTATAATAAATAGTAGCGAGAGAAAACCGTGAAATATACTCAATCTTTTGATTAAATTAGAATAAATATAAAGAATAATATTCTTTTCTTTAAGTAAAGATAAAGTATAGATAAAAAAATGGAAGTCGATTGTCGTATTAAATTAAACGGAGAAGGTTCATATATACTCTATTTTCTTTTATTGTTTAATTTTACCCCTTTTATAATTTTTAGCATTTTTATCCTTGTTGTCCGTCAAAATTTTATATTTATCCTAATTTTAACACCTGAACGCATGACATTGTCTAAGAGGAAGACCTAACCCAATATTAAAAAAAAGAGATTTTTATATTCCTATATACTATTTGAAACTTTATTACCCTCCCTACTCAAGTTTCAATTTAATTACATCCGATATACACATTTACCAATTATATACACTTTAGGAATAAAATGAGTATCCCTTTATATTTAGAATCAATTATTTCCCATCTTTATTGTCTCTTCCTCCTGCGCGCTCTCTCTCTCCTGCTCTCTTTCTCTCTCTGCGTCTCTCTCTATCCCTCAATTCCTAATTCCAGTAATGTAGAGCAAAGGAAAAAAGAGCAGCAATTTCACCATTGACAGCCATTACAAAGATTTGAAGCATTGAATTTGAATTTAGGTTTTCAAAAACTATAATTTGTTTGGATTGAGTGTTGTTGCTAGGTGAAGAAAGATCATATAATGATACAGAAAAAAGCAGATTAGGATCATACAATAACCCTATTTGTCGTCTTTTCTTGAACACAGATAAGCACATATAAAAATGTGTATTAGCAGTTTAGTTAGATACTTATAAGGGGAAGCAGAAAGAATAACGGTAAATAATTACCATCGTGTTTATACCAATTTAATTCAATTTATTATGATTAATTTATATAATAAATTGAAGATATATATATATTATTTAATTATGATTAAGTGATAAAAGAGAGCAGCAATTCCACCATTGACAGCCATTAAAAAGCTTTGAAGCTTTGAATTCGAATTTGGGTTTTCAAAAACCATTATTTGTTTGGATTGGGTGTTGCTGCAAACAATTAGGAATATTGTTTGGAGTTTATATCTCAATTTTGAGGNAATTTGTTAGAATGGTCAATGAAAAATCTGACGATTACATATCGTGCAAAGCTAAATCCAGAAAATCTATCTTCTTCAGTTACCGCAAAGCATGAAACTAGCAAGTTCCAATCTCATATTCTATTTGTAAAGGCTTATCTCAAACACTAACTACAGTGAAGAGCAAGAACTGTGGTATTGAAGAAGAAGAAGAAGAAGAGGAGGAGAAGGGGAGGAGAAAGGGAAGCTGAAGTTTTTTAAAAAGTGGGTACGGGTGCAAACAGAAAGACAAAGCGGCTACAGGTTAAAAGGGGGCGCCCAAATAGGGCGCCCCGTGCAATTTTTACAAACGGACCGGCTGCCTTTCCTCTCACTTGCCGAGTCCGATAGACATAGTTTTGGTCCTGTGGCTGGCCCAAAGTAAATAGGAGTCCAGTTCACCCTTGTCTTTCCTCGTTTGCCTTTTAGAACAAGGGATTTTTACATACCTATACACTATTGGGAACTTTATTACCTTTCCTACTCAAGTTTCAATTTAATTACTTCCTATATACAAATTTATCAATTATATACACTTTAGGAATTAAATGAGTATCCCTTTATATTAGGAATCAATTATTTCCCATCCTTATTCTCTCTCCCTCGTGCGCTCTCTCTCTCCGTCTCTCTCTCTCTCTCTCTCTCTCTCTCTCTCTCTCTCTCTCTCTCTCTCTCTCTCTCTCTCTCTCTCTCTCTCTCTCTCTCTCTCTCTACGTCTCTCTCTATTTCTCAATCCCTAATTCTAGTAATGTAGAGCAAAGGAAAAGAGAGCAGCAATTCCATCATTAACATCCATTAAAAAGCTTTGAAGTTTTGAATTCAAATTTGGGTTTTAAAAAAATATTATTTGTTTGAATTGGTAATGTAAAGCAAAGAAAAAGAGAGTAGCAATTCCTCCATTGACAACCATTAAAAAATTTTGAAGCTTTGAATTCGAATTTGGATTTTCTAAACCATTATTTGTTTGGATTGAGTGTTGTTGCAAACAATTAGGAATATTGTTTGGAGTTTATATCTCAATTTTGAGGGTGTTTTGGTGAAGATTAGACTTGATTTTGGCAGAATTTCAGATTGAAACTCGAAGAAGAAGAAGACATGACATACATTATACTTACAAAATTGTAGTAAAGTTGTAGTAAAATTATAAAAAAATTATATTATGTTGTTTTTATATATATTTTTATTTAAATATTGTATGAAAGTTGAACAATATTTGTATAAAAATTATATTTTAAGTTGTATGATATTGTAGTTGTATATAACTCGGTAGACATAATGTATGAAAATTGTAGATAGTTGTATAATATATAATTAGTTGTATGAAATTGGTTTTTACTATGTATAAATCAGATACAAAATATACAAAAGACATATGTATAAAATCTATATTTAAGTGG